AAAAATATAATAAAAATATGAAAAACTCTTGTAAAATTGAGTAGGTTAAGAATCCAAAGTTTGGGGTTAAAATGCTAAGCGTAGCTATTAGAGCTAATATTGCGCGATTAAAACTTAAACCGCCTATAAATAGGCTGGCACATGATCCTAGGTCAGTTTTTTGAGCCTTGTGCGTGAGTTTCTGCCTCCTTGAGCTGCTGAGTGCTTTTCCATTGCTGTTCCTTCATTCCTCTTCACTTTGAGAGCCAAGAAGTCACCTTTCTTCTTGGTTTCTTCATCAAACACATAATGGGGTGTCTTGTGGGTGTGTGTAGAGCACTATTTCTGAGTTAGAAGGTCTGTGCAAGGGAGGTTTGGGCTGCTGACTTGTGGGTTTGGCTTGAGGGAGCTTGGTTCTTGCATTTTTGGGGACCAAGGAGTAACCTTTGTGAAGAAAGAATCAACCTTTGGTGTGCCATTTTCGTGCACCATCATAGTCTGAGTTTGAGGAGCTGTTGGTGAGCTCCAAGAGCACTGTCCTTTCTGTTTTGTGAGCCTTGGGTAAGTCCCCTCACTTGATCATGGGTTTTAATGCTTTAAAGATGAAGTCTTTGCATGTTAAAGGTTAAAACGTCCAACACCTATGTGAACTTGTTTATGCTTAAAAATGGATCCTTGGACGTGTTTTAGGGTTAAAGGTTGGACCTTTAAAGGATATCTTCACGAAATACAGTTTCTGCATTCTGTCGTGAAATATCCGGATATCTGCCCTTGAAATATCCGGATATTGGATATCCGGATATGAGGATTTTGATATCCGGATATTGGATATCCGGATATGGGAATCTGGATATCCGGATATTGTATATCCGGATATGGTCAGTGAGGTATCCGGATATTGCATATCCGGATATGTCCTCGAGTAATATCCGGATATTCTGGGATTTCGAAGAGCAGTAGCTGTGTTGTGTGTACAGTAGGCTATTGTGGGTTTGTGGACCCTAGATTGATGAAGTTGAACTTCTGTAATTAATAAACTAAGTCAGAATCATGTGATTAAGGGCTTGTGGCTTTGTTGGAAGCCTTAAGACGTAAATCGTTAAAGGAGAACGTAGTCTTTATGTTAATGCTTTTGAGCTATGTATGTTGATACACTTGCTGGTCCTAAATCAGATTGTGATCTGCTGTGAGTTGGACTTGAGCTGTGAGGACTCTTGGCATTGGATAGTGAGCTTGCAAGGTAAGCTTTCGTGTCCTCGATTTAGCCATGTTGTGGTTCCACCATGTCCCATAGGGATATGGTTATATGCATGTTGTGTTACATGCTTTTGATGTTTTGGAAATGTTGTTGAGCTGTTATATGTTAGTGCCTTGTTGATATGCATGGAGGTTTTCCACTTATGCATGTAGGAGATAGACGTATTCCTGCATTTCTCTGGCCAGTAGAATAGTGATAACACACATGCCATAGATATATGTTGCACTGCATAGTTTTGGAACTGATATTGGTATAAATGCTTTTAGAACTTATATTGCACATGTAAGTGAGCTTGGGGTGGAAGATCCTTGAGGACCCCTTGTCTTACTGAGATTTCTAGTTTAGAGATCTCACCCCACGTTTAGGGCGCTTATTTCAGGTTCAGGTAATGTTGAGACCTCAGGCGGCTGGAGGCCGGAGCTGAGTTAGATTTGCTGTATTTATGCTGACATGTTGGATGCTGCTTTATGTTGTTAGCTTCAATTTATGATTATGTTTTACCTTGTTGAGACGCTGTTTATTTGATGAGCATGGGGATTGTCCATGACACATAGACTGGTTTTTGTCTTAGTTTGATTTGGAGTTATAATAATGTATCAGGATATTGTCTGGACTACGTGATGTAGATCTGTGATTTAGATACTCACTTTATATGTTATATTGAGGTATTTCAGTAGATGTCTTATTGCAATTTACATTTAGGCGATATTTTATGAAATTGATTAAGTAAGCAAGTTGGTAATTGATAATGACGTCATAATCGAAAAGAAAAAGAATATTCTGCATTTTTAATTAAGCACCGCTTAATACGATGTAATGATAACACTTCCGGATATATACTGGGTGTTACACCCATCCCTTTCTTTCTTTTACCTCGGTGATGTGCCTCTGGCAAGTGTGATTTTCTGTGTTAAAATTGATAAGAAGTGAGTCATAAAAGAGCAATTTAAATACATATTTGCTAATTATATTGATTCTTTCTTTTCAATAATATTTCTCACCTATTAATTGTGTTTTTACGGGTAAAATGCGGAAAAATTACAAATGATAAAAAGCCTGTTGACGCGACTCCACACACGGCTCCACACAGAGGAAAGTTCCATGTTGCATCGTGTTGCATGGTATAAATGGCAGTGACTTGGTGCCACTTAGCGCCAAACTCATGCTAAGTGGCGCCATGAAGTTGTCCAGCGCCCAAAGTAAAGGAAGTGGCGCCACTAGGCGCCCAAAGTGAATAGGAATGGTGCCAAGTAGCGCCACCGTGCAGCATAAGTTGGCCAGGAAAATGGCGCCAAGTTGCGCCAGTTTTCGAGAAAATGACTCCGACTTTTTCACAATGGCGCTAAGTGGCGCCGTACCGGCGCCAACTGGCGCCGATTTGCGGGAAAGAAGTATCGTGCTGCGCGAAGGGTATTTTTGGAAGAAGGAAAAGAGGTTTATAAATAGGATCCCTATGACAGAATTAGGTTTTCAGATCTATTCTTCTGAAGAGAGACGACGGCAGAGCTCTGAGGGGATTCCTAGGATCAAGTTCTTTTTCTCTTTTCTCCTTAATTTTATGCTTTTGAATATTGAATTATTTTTAGCCATGATTATGCTTGGCTAGTTTTCTTTTATTGTAGTTAGGGTCACGAGCCCTATGTGAACCCTTGTTACGATGGATTGATGTAGTTTTATTCATTTATATAATTATCTTTGCCTCTACCTTGTGCGTATTTTCTATTTTCTTTATTAGAACTGATCAATCTGATAGTTGAGAATAGTTTGAGGGTTAGAACCCTAGATAGGAATATTGGAGTTTTGATCTTGAAAGGGGGTAGGACAACAATTGGTATGCATGCTAGGAATAGCTGTGTATTTAATTGCGGATGCTTAAATTATTGCGTTCATTGCTTAATACCATAAGGAACATTGCAAGGAATTGGGGTTCCAATTGGGGATTAAAGGGTTAATCTTGCAAGGAATTGAGGGTTAACTAATAAATATTTTTAGATAATAATTTATCCGAGTAATTATATGAATAAGTATTGTGAATCAATCCAAAGTAAGAAGTGGGGATCATAAGGTGAGTGCGCTCTAGCTACAATATTTTTCTCATATTTTTAAAATCAATTCTTATTGTTATTGTTTTATTTCTCTTAAATAAAAATTCAAAAACAAGTCTTTACTTTTATTTCTTTTTGTTACTCAAAATCAATTCTCAATTTTTCCAAACAACAAACCGAGTTTTCCAACTTAAGGGGACTGGTTATTGTAGTACTTGGTTTACAATCCCTGTGGAGACGATACTCTAATTACTTTCTATATTACTTGTGCGATCGGTATACTTGCCGGAGAGCATCAAGTTTTTGGCGCCGTTGCCGGGGATTGCTAATTCCAATATTACAAATAACCGTTGATCTTTGAGATTGAATTTTTTTTTATTTATTTTATTTTATTTTGTTCTATCTTGTTCTGTGTTTGCAGGTGCTACTAACATATTTTTCTGAGTTTTATGCATAGTAGACTTCCTCCTACAGACTTTGTATTTGATCCAGAAATTTCAAGGACTGAGAGGAGACTGCGGAAAGTTGCCAAGCAAATAATTTGGGAAGAATTTAAGAACGAACCTGTACAACCAATATAAGAAATGGCGGGTAACAACAATGCAAACAACCCACCTCCAAGATTGTTGGACACCATTCTGACTCTGGTGTTCAATAGGCCAAACTCAAGTATAATCAGGCCGACGGTGGAGGCAAACAATTTTGAGCTGAAGCCATCTTTGATTTCTTTGGTGGAAAGGGTTCAGTTTTCTGGTGCTGAGGAGGAAGATCCTCATGAGTTCATAGATCGATTTCTGATGATCTGTGACACTACCAAGCACAATGGAGTGTCTGCCGATGCTATCAGGCTTCGATTATTCCCTTTTGCTGTTAAGGGAAAAGCTCTCAGATGGATAGAAAGGCAGCCAGCTAATAGTATCATGACATGGGAAGACTTGTCTACAAAGTTCTTTGCCGAGTTCTTTTCTATGGAGAAGTACAACCAGCTGGTAAATGAGATCACAAACTTCCGCCAGCTTGAAGGAGAATCGTTGTGTGCAACCTGGAAGAGATTCCAGGAACTTATCTGAAAGTGTCCGCACTATGAGGGAGATAATGACGGAAAGGTGGCGATCTTCTTTAATGGCATATCTCCTGAAACAAGGTTGGTGATTAATAGTGCAGCTGGAGGTTCTATTCGACAGAGTACATCTGAACAAGCTATTGACTTGATAAAGAAATTGGCAAGGAATGAGAATGAGAGCGTATCAGCTCAAATAAAAAAAGGAGTGATAAAGCTGGAAAGCAATGATGCTATGCTTGCTGAACAAAAGCTGTTGTCCAAAAAGTTTGACAGCTTAAATGAAAAGTTTGAAAAACTTCCAAGTGTCCAAGGTTCAATCAACTCCTGTGGTTTGTGAATATTGTAAGGAAGCTCATGAGTCTAATGAGTGTCCTACTCTAATGGGTGATAATCCACAGTAGTTGCAAGTAAATGGGGGTATGAACAGAAGCCCCAACAAAATTTTTCAAGAAATCAGAATTTTCCTTCTGGAAGTTATTTTCAGAGGAGAGGTCAAAGAGGTGGTCTTGACTATAGTTCCAACAATTATCTGCAACCTCCTCCTATTCCACAGAAGGAACTTTCTGATTTGGAGAAGTTAATTGGACAAATGGCTTAGCATTCCAATGCTTTCATGGATGAGACTAGAGCCAATACCAAGAACACAAATGCTTTCATGGAGGAGACTAGAGCAAATACCAAAAACACCAATGCTTCTATTAGGAACTTGGAGAATCAAATTGGCCAACTGGCTAAGCAATTTGCAGAAAGAGCTCCAGGTACCTTCCCTAGCAATACAGTTACCAACCCCAAGGAAGATTGTATGGATGTCACAACTAGAAGTGGTAAGGTGGTAGCAGCTCCAGAAAAGCCAAGCACAAATGTAGAAGCTGATGAGAAGCTTAAGGAGGTCAATGAGACAGAAAAAGAAGTGATAATTCCTTCTGATGTTGAGAAAACTGTTCAGAAAGGTGAAGAAGAAGAGCCACCTATAGTTGCTGAAAGGAAGAAATTTGAGTTGAATCCGGAATATGTGAGAGCCATGGCACCTTATTTAGAACGATTCAAGAAGCATGCTCAAAAGCAGCAATATGCAAGATTTCTTGATATCTTCAAGAAGTTGCATGTAAACATACCTTTTGCTGAAGCTCTGGCTAACATGCCCGATTATGCCAAGTTCATGAAGGACTTGTTATCCAGAAAACATAAGCTGCAGGAATGCCAGACAGTCACACTCACTGAGGAGTGTAGTGCCATCATACAGAAGAAGTTTCCACCCAAACTCAATGATCCAGGTAGCTTCAATATTCGCATTGCTATTGGTAATACTGATGTTGGCAGGGCATTGTGTGATCTTGGGGCAAGCATTAACCTGATGTCGTTATCTGTTTGCAAATCTTTGGGAATTACTGAATTAAAACCCACTATGGTTTCACTTCAACTCGCTGATAGATCTTTGAGGAGACCGAGTGGAATTATTGAAGATGTTCTTGTTAAAGTGGACAAGTTCATCTTCCCAGCAGATTTTGTAGTGTTAGACATGGAAGAGGGTACTGAAATGCCCCTATTATTGGGAAGGCCCTTCTTGGCTACTGCTCGAGCCATGATTGATGTTGAGAATGGCAGGCTAGAGTTGAGGATGAATGATGAGACCATCACCATCAACATCTTTGACTCCATGAAACAATCTTCTGATAAAGGTGATTGTTTTCGTCTTGATATTCTAGAGCAAGTAGTGGAAGAAGAGGTATTTTCCAGTCAACAATCTGAGGAAGAACTTGAAATGCATGAATTAGTTCCTTTGAAGGAAGAAAAGGTTGAGTTATTTGAAGTCCTTGAAACGAAAGATTTTGACAAGGAAGATGGTACACCAAAGGTAGAGTTGAAGGAGCTTCTAGAAACTCTCAAGTATATCTTCTTGGGTGAGAATGAGACTTACCCTGTTATCATCAACAAGGGATTGTCTTCTGAACAACAGATGAAACTGGTTGAGGTGTTGAAAGAACCATCAGACTGCTATAGGATGGTCAATTTCTGATTTGAAGGGTATTAATCCCTCATTCTGTACACATAAAATCCTCATGGAGGAAGAAGTTCGACCAGTAAGGCAGCCTCAAAGGAGGCTCAATCCAACAATGAAGGAAGTTGTAAGGAAGGAAGTTGTGAAACTTCTTGATGCTGGTATGATTTATCCAATTTCGGATACTGCTTGGGTAAGCCCGGTGCAAACAGTTCCGAAAAAGGGAGGTATCACTGTAGTCCACAATGAGAAAAATGAACTGATTCCAACTAGAACCATTACTGGTTGGAGAATGTGTGTGGATTATCGGAGGTTAAATACTGCCACAAGGAAGGATCACTTCCCACTTCCTTTCGTTGATCAAATGTTGGAAAGATTGGCGGGTCACAATTACTACTGTTTCTTGGATGGATATTCTGGGTACAACCAAATTCCAGAGGAACCAGAAGATCAGGAGAAAACAGCCTTCACCTGCCCTTTTGGAGTCTTTGCTTATAGACGGATGTTGTTCGGTCTATGTAATGCACCTGCCACATTCCAGAGGTGCATGCTCTCCATCTTTTCTGACATGGTGGAGAAAAACCTTGAGGTATTTATGGATGACTTTTCCGTTTTTGGCTCTTGTTTTGATTTATGTTTGTTGAATTTAACTCATGTGTTAAAAAGATGCCAAGAAACAAATCTTGTACTTAACTGGGAAAAATGTCATTTTATGGTACAAGAGGGAATTGTCTTAGGTCATAAGATATCTGAAAAAGGGATTGAGGTAGATGAAGCAAAATTAATGTTGATTGAGAAACTTCCTCCCCCTAATAATGTGACTAGTGTTAGAAGTTTTCTAGGACATGCTGGGTTTTACAGGAGATTTATTAAAGACTTTTCTAAATTAGCTAAACCTTTGAGCCAACTTTTAGAAAAGGATTCTGAATTTCAATTTGATGATGCATGCCTTAAAGCTTTTAATCTTTTGAAAGAAAAGCTCACTACAGCGCCCGTTCTTGTAGCTCCTGATTGGAGTTTACCTTTTGAGCTCATGTGTGATGCTAGTGCCTATGCTATAGGTGCAGTCCTTGGCCAACGTAAGAATAAATTGTTACATGTCATATACTATGCTAGCAAGATTTTAAATGAGGCACAAGTAAATTATGCCACAACTGAAAAAGAAATGCTAGCAGTAGTATATGCCTTGGACAAATTTAGATCTTATTTGTTGGGTTCCAAGGTAATTGTTTTTACTGACCACTCTGCTATCAAGTACTTGATGAATAAGCAGGATGCCAAGCCCCGATTGTTAAGGTGGATGCTCTTATTTCAAGAGTTTGACTTAGAAATCCGAGATAAAGCTGGAGTGGAAAACAAGGTGGCAGATCATTTGTCACGAATCCAGGAGAAAGAATTACAAGATGGTCTTGAGAGAGAAATAAATAACCATTTTCCTGATGAAAGAGTGATGGCTATATTTGTACCCCCTTGGTTTGCAGATATTGCCAATTACAAGGTGATAAAAGAGTTGCCTTCCAACCTTACTAGGCAACAACAGAAGAAGTTCCTCAGAGATGCAAGGAGATTTCATTGGGATGATCCTTATCTGTATTTCCAGTGTGCTGATGGAATTATAAGAAGGTGTGTGCCAGAATTTGAAGTTCATGAGATCCTGTGGCACTGCCATGCATCAGACTATGGAGGACACTTTGGAGGTAATAGAACCGCTCAAAAAGTTCTACAGAGTGGTTATTATTGGCCTACGATATTCAAAGATGCAAGGGATTATGTGGAAAGATGTGATAAGTGTCAAAGAGTTGGAAACATTTCCCGCAAGGATGAAATGCCTCTAAATAGCATATTAGAGGTAGAACTATTTGATGTATGGGGGATAGATTTTATGGGACCATTTCCTTCATCATTCTCCAACCAATACATCCTTGTTGCTGTTGATTATGTCTCCAAATGGGTTGAGGCTGTTGCTCTTCCCACCAATGATGCTAAGGTGGTTGTAAATTTCTTGAGAAAGAATATTTTCACAAGGTTTGGTGTACCAAGGGCAATAATAAGTGATGGAGGTACTCATTTTTGTAACAAGCAGTTTGATAACTTACTGGCAAAGTATGGTGTTAAACATAAGGTTGCTACACCTTATCATCCTCAAACTAGTGGTCAAGTGGAAGTCTCTAACAGAGAGTTGAAGAGGATTCTCGAGAAGACTGTTGGGAACTCTTTGAAGGATTGGTCTAAGCGGCTGGATGATGCTTTGTGGGCATATAGGACTGCTTTCAAAACTCCTATTGGTACATCACCTTATCAGTTGGTATTTGGGAAATCTTGTCATCTACCTGTAGAGTTGGAACATCGAGCTTTCTGGGCTATCAAATTTTTAAATTTTGATTCAACAAAAGCTTTTGAGAAAAGACAGGCTCAACTGAGTGAGCTTGATGAGTTCAGAAATTTTGCTTATGAGAGTGCCAGAATCTACAAAGATAAAACAAAGAAATGGTATGACAGAAAGATTATGCACAAGGAGTTTGAACCAGGACAACAAGTGTTGCTATACAATTCTCGTTTGAGGTTATTTCCAGGAAAATTGAAATCAAGATGGTCCGGTCCTTATGCGGTGAAGACAGTTTTTCCTTATGGTACAATAGAGATATCACCATTGGACGAAGATAGACCTTTTAAGTTAAATGGTTCAAGGTTGAAATTTTATCACGGAGGAATTGTGTCACAAAATACTGTGGCTCAATATCTCAACTATGTTGGCACATAAAAGAGGCAACCGTCAGGCTCGTGACGTTAAACACGCGCTTATTGGGAGGCAACCCAACTTAGTAAAAAAAAAAAAAAAAAAAATTTCAGTACAAAAGGCAGCAACTTGGCGCAACATGGCGCCACACTGGCGCCAATTGGCGCCGCTGCAACGAAAAAAAAAATTAACGGCGCCACTGCGCGCCATGCGGCGCCAGTGGGCGCCGGGGCGCGATCTTGCGCAACGGCGCGGACCAGCGCCAACGAAAAAAAAATAATAATAAAATAAAATAAATAAATGAATAAATCTCACTGACACCTTCCCAATCCCTATCCCCTTTATCTTCTTTTTCTCCCCAAATCCCCAGATTCTCTCTTCCTCTCTCCTTTCTTTTTCTTATCTTTTCTTTTCTTCCTTTATCTTATTCTTCTCACGCCTCCTTCTCTCTCTTTTTCTTCCTTATTTTTTTCTTCTTCTTTCTTCTTATCTTTCCTCTCTTTTTCTCATTCCCCCGCTCCTCCTCCACGCCCCTTCCCTTCTCATTCTATTTTGTTTGTTTTATTTTTATTTTTATTTTTTTTACAATATTCTCACATCACATACTCCTTTGAAGATCAAGTTCATATTTATTCATGGAACCAAAGGTAAGCTTCTTTCACTTTGAGGATTATTATTTTGGTCACCTATATTAGAAAAAGAAATTATTTGAATATATGTGGGTTGCTGTAGATTTTCAGAGCTGTGATTAGCGAGTATGGTGTTATGTGTGTAGGGCTGGGTTCTTTGTGTGTGAATGTGAGCATTACATGTGAGTGTTCTGGAGATTTACTGTGGGTATTTCTGATCTTCATGGATATTTAATATTTCTTATTTTATATGTCCATGTGAGGTTGAAAATTTTGATACCAGCTATGCTAAATATTTTGCTCAGTAATTTATTTGTAAGTAATTTGGGTATACTGCGGCAATATAATTTCAGATTAAATCTGGGAATGGTATGCACATGTGGTCTGTGTTTAGAAACATTAGCAAAAATTTCACTATGTGTATGCACCTTTGTTCACTGATATAATCTGAGATACATCTGGGAATTATTGCTGTGTTATGGGCTAACTGTGATATTTTATATACCCTTTGCACTGGATTATTTTTCTGATTTTCAGATCTTTATGGGTAAAGAACCAGCGACAAGTGGTAGTAAAAAGAAGCGAAAAGTTTCGCAGTTGGATGAAGGCAGATTTGTGAACATGGAAGCCCAAAAGAGATTCTATGACCTTTATGAGAACAAGAGCTTCATTCATGAAAAAACCATTGATATGGATCTGCCAGAAGATAATCCCATTATGCAAACCATCCAAAGAAGGAAATGGGAGGTGCTGGTAAGTTATGCTGAACCAGCCTCAAGCTCAATTGTTAAGGAGTTCTGTGCCAATGCCGAACTGGAGGATTTAGATACCACTAGAACTTCATGGGTTAGAGGAGTTATGGTTCCTTTTGATGCAGCCACCATTGAGTCCTACCTGATGACAGCTTTCAGGCAACAGACTTCTTGTGAATATACCTCTTTGTATAACAGAATGTTGCCTAGTATGGGGCGCAGGCTATACCGGGATGAATTTTCTTCTTTGACAGAAAGGGTAAGAAAAGGGATTACTCAACCACTCTCCAAATGGGGCACTAACGCCGGTGGTATCCAAGAAAAGTTACGTATGAAAGAGCTTACTGGTGAATGCCGTTTCTGGCAGTATTTTGTGAATGCCAATATCTTGCCTTCTTCTAATCTGTCAGATGTGAATATTGAGCGGGCATCTCTGTTATATATTCTTATTGGGCCAGAAAGATTGGACATTTCTACAGTGTTATCTGATAGAATTTATCATATGGTGAAAGTGAGTAGAAAGAAAGAACATCTGGGGTTTGCTTCCCTTATTTCCAATTTATGTACCCGGGCAGGAGTGCTCTTCGCTGAGAATGAGGAGTTTGACGTTCAGCCTGCATCTATACTGACTTTGGCTACTTACATAGATCAGTGTAATAAATCTGAGGTTGAGTTCAGAAGCACGAGCCAAAAAGCTACTAGAGCTCCATCTCCACGTGTTCCACGTATGCTTATTCAACCTCAGGTACCTGAGCCAGATACTCCTGAAGCACATTATGATCAAGCAGCTCCAGTTGCTCCACAGGGATCTTCTCCTACTTTTGATTTTTATGGAATGCAACAGCAGCTTTCACGGCTGTCTATTCAAAATGAGAAGATCATTATGCAGGGAGAATATTT